AAAAAGACGGGAAAGTTTATCATTTAATTCATCGAATTCACTGTAACGTTTCCAAATAGTCCAAGTTCTAACTGCTGCTTGAACTTCTACACGGTAAACAACATGAGGTTTGGGAGATTGTCTTGTTTCTGTGTTTTTAATACAAATGCTTTGAATGCCTTCCATTTTTTTTTTTTTTTTTATAAAATAAAAAATAAAAATAATTAATATTAATTAATAAATTAATATAATAAATAATAATAATAGTTATTGTTATATTTCAAGATGGATGTTTTTGAATGTGATACAATTGTTTATAATAAATTATCAATCAAGATTTTTCTAATCTGAAATTTTCATCATGACAGAAATAAAGCCTAAAAATATTCATACAATACTTGGTGAATTACAAAGTTTAATAATAGATATACAGGAACAATATGAAGTGTCTACTCGTCAAAATACTCCAATTCCTAATGGTTTAACAAGATTTACTTATTAATAGTAGTTTTAGATATTTTTTTTTAATTATTAATGATAATAAATTTTTCTTTTCTATTTTGTTTAACAAAGCAATTCATCCTCTTGGGCCTGTTAATTTGGCTTCAGTATCCATCGAATTTAAAGAAAAAATTGATTTAATAAAGCACATTATTTCTAAATTCCGAACTTCATTAATTTTTGAGGCTACTGCTCAACATCATAATATAGTTGGACTTGAACAATCAATTAAAAAATATACTGGTGAATTACAGGTTTGAAATATACATATATTACATAGATATATAGACGTATTAAAAGCAAATTGGATTATTGAGGAATTGAGTTATCATCATTACATTTATTACAATTGATTGAATCAATCAAAAGGAAGAATCAAACCGTCTTAGTCCACTCACCGAATTGCACAAAGATATTAAAATATGCAAGGAATTAGCACTAGATGCATGTCAAGATATGAGGGCTGCATTTAAGTTTGTTATTCAAGAAACAGTTAATCTTGCCAAGAAATTTGGGTAAATAATCATAAAATTTAAATTTCTCTATTTACATTTTTTAAATCTGTTCGTTGAATAATATTTAAATATTTATTTAGACTTCAAGTTTATGAACTTGATCGCAAAGGAGCACATTCTACCCAATCAATAAGCGGAAGCATACATCTTTTAGACGTATGCTAATAACAATATATAATATATGGTAATACTACAATAATTACTTTAATAATCCATGTTATTTATATCATTTGACAGATTCAATTTAACGAAAGCATTAATCAAATAAACAAAGTCACTATCACTGGCCAGGTAGTATTTGATAATATTTGAACAGTATACTATTATTAATATAAAGTATTTTTTTGTAATAAATAATTTTTTATGCAAAAAAGAAAAAGAAAATAAAGAAGAAAATTAGTAATTTATTAACATATCAATTAAGGTTAGTAATCAAGTTCTTGGTCTAATATTCAATAATTCTATTAAATAATATTAATATTTTTAAAATTTTCAAATGATTGATTGATTGATCAGTAATTATGGGCAATTCAAATTATTTAAAAGAAATCTTCAGATTTTGGCAACATTAGAAACTCTATCGACAAACAATGTCATGTTAGATACTTTTCTTTGTATGCGTCGTATAAACAAAGATATTAGGTCAATATATGAGAAGGAATAGTAAGTTCAACAACATCTCAGTATTTTAAGATTAAATCAAGAATTATTCAACACAATAACATATAGATTTTATACTTTTTTTAAAAAAATATACAACTATATACATTTACATTTAGTTCAAATACTGAAGGAAATATTTCACAAATATTAATCGAAGGTCATGGAATTCCATTGTTCCATATGGATTATATAGGTCCGTCAATAGTTTATTGGGCACCTAAATATAAAGTTATTGAAACTGATTGGAATTTTGTTAAAAATGTTTTAATAAGCGGTATTTTGAATATTGTCTCTTATTTATTTATTCATTTATTTGAACTAAAAATTAGTCTATTGATTATTAACAGATGAATTAAATGATAAACTTTCCCGTCTTTTTCCAAATAACCTACCACCATGTGAAATTCCAGGAAAGAACTATTTCCAATCTACCTTGGGAAATCCCGTTCTCATCGACGACAGACGTAGAGGCTTGCACGAGTATTTAAAAGCCATACTTTCACCCAGAGATGACCGTTGCCGACCAGCCAATGAATGGCAA